AAAATAATAATTAAAAGACAAAACTATTTTGTTTCAATTTTATTAGATTTTGTACGCCTTACTTAGGCTTCATAAAAAACAAAAATATGAGGGGCCTTAAAAATAAGGGACCAACAAAATATTTATGTAATAGGGGGGTTAAAAAAAAGATCAAGTAGGGGGCCTAAATATTAAAACTTTGTTATATAGGACCTTTTTGACCTCTCTAGATGATTTGAACAGGTCTTGCTAATACTTAATGAAGACCTCGTGATTATGGTTTCATCATAAGTCATTACTTCAGCCTGTAATAGAATATTTGAAATTTTATCGTGTCAATTCTGAAAACTTTTTAAAATAAAAAATTATATTTTGTATCCTCTCACACCTCATTTTGAAGGAAGTGTATGTTTGTCACCCGACTCCACAAAATGTCTTAGTTATAATGTTGGAGGTTTAGTAGAGATTTTGAAGTATATCCATCTCCGCTTTTAACACATTAATTTTCAAATGAAGCTTACCAAACTTCTGAGAACTCTGGTCATAGAGGGATAAAAGAGTGTCATTAGACCTATATTCTACAATACTACCCCAAAATTTTGAACATAATTTAAACATGATAGGTTTAATGAATGGAAATCATTACGTGAACATAATGAGTGAAGAAATTTCAAAAGTTCATTTCGCTGAGCGAGTCATCCTTTAGTTATCAAATGAAAACCTATTTGAAATTCTGTCAATGTGGAATTTGGTTGTCAAAGTGAAAAAGAGAGTTTTTTGTTTAATTTTCTTAGTATTAAACTATACGAGATAACAAGAGTTTCATAACATCAAAGGTAGGTCAAACGAGATTCATCAAAGAATTGAGAGATTTAATGATGTTGTTATACATATAATTTATGTATTTCAAACATAACTATGACTATGTAAGTTCTTCTTTGTTGGGGGTTTATTACCACAAAAAGTATATATCCCCACAATTGGGAGAAGGGTTCCACCATGGAAGGTGGTCACTGGTAACAAATGGTGTGATAGTATGTGCCCTATTTACCATTACGGTTAAGCCCATAACAAAACAACGTAGTAAAAGGTTAAGGTCATAAATTTGATACTCAAGACCAACATTTTGGCAAATTTCCTAAACATTTTACCATGGTTGTTCCTTCCAACCATATGAAAGACATAGCGCATAACATTTCACCACAGTTATAAATTACAACTGTGGTGATATATTCACTTTAATTTATTATAACTTGTGTGAAATGTTTATTTCACCAACATCTCACTAAACATATAACCATTTAATATGACTTAGAAATAAATAATATGATAAATTATATTATATTAAAAAAATAAATTACACTAATCAATGTTGTATGAGCTTTATACAACTTATTATCCATATTTTGCTCTTTAACGAATTATAATTTGTTTCAATGCTTCTAATTCTTCAACGAACATTTCCTTTTCTACTAGTTTATTCTGCAAAGTATTAATTACTCTGTAGAAAGTGATGGCAGAAAAAGTAGAAGCATTGAATCAAGTTCTGACCGTTAAAGAGCAAAATACGAATAATGAGATGCAAAAATCTCGTAATACATTGATAAGTGTAAGTTGTTTTTTAATATAATTCAACTCTCACATAATTATTTTATAGTTCAATTCGGAAGGTTATATAGTTAGTGAAGGGGTGATAAAACACTCAAACCACATACGATATAATAAACTCATCTTCTATGACATGTTGGATGAACGAACTGAAAGTTGCAATGTATATGGAATAAAATTAACAATAATGCAAACAATAACATTTCTCAATAAAACATCAACATACTTTAACAAAAACGTCTAAAATAACACAAACAATAATATTTATAAAAAAACTTACCTTAACGTGACAACAACTCACCTTAGCATAAACAACAACCCACCTTAAAAAAAACAATATACCTCCACAAAAACATTAACATGTATAGTAAAAATCATCGACAATAACACAAACAACAATATTTATCAACAAAAACAATAACTTATATTAGCATAAACAACAACTTACATTAACAAAAGCAACAACATAACTCCACAAAACATCAACATACCTAATAAAAAACACATACAATTACACAAACAACGATATTTATCAACAAAAACAACAACTTACCTTAACAAAACAACAACATACCTCCACAAAAACATCAACAAACCTAATAAAAAGCATCTACAATTACAAACAAATTTATCAACAAAAACAACAACTTACCTTAACATAAACAACAAATTACCTTAACAAAACAACAACATAACTCAATAAAAACATCAACAAACCTAATGAAAACATCTACAATGACACAAATAATAACAACATTTATCAACAAGAACAACAACTTACTTTAATATAAATAACAAATCACCTTAACAAAAACAACAACACACCTCAACAATAACTTAAACCCTTTACTTATCTCAACAAAAACAACAATATAAAAATATAATCTCATTTTAACAATAAGAAAACAATAAACCCTATGTTTCACGTATACTTTTGAACAATAAAAACATGAAAAATATTTTGAACAACAACAACATCAACTCATAAAATGTTTCGTGAGCATATACCTTTCATTAAAAATATATATGGAGAATGAAGACAAATAAATGAACCACTTGTTTCGTCTTGCAAAGATCTGTGAAACATTTCCTTGATTCATAATAGTTGGAGAAATTATATTGGAGTTTTGAGAGATTAAGATAAGGCGAGAGAAGTTAGAGTTTTCTTTTAGCGCAATCTATTTTGAAATGATATAAGTTAACTTTTATAGGCAATATATTTCATCATGGTTGATAAAAAGAATCATGATGAAATTTCATAATATTTAACTATGATTGTTTATATGGATCGTGGTGAAAAGTGCTTAATTTTTATTTAAAAATAGGAATTAACGGAACATACATTTTTTTAACCAAAAAACATAAAATTACAGGTGTGGGACATCAAAGTGTGTCACTGCTTCACACATCACAAAGGTAGTTTAAATGAATTGTGGTTATATGTGATTTACAAATATATAAAAAATAAAAGACGCTTAATAAACATATATTACTTTGGATGGTAAAGTTCTTGTAGTAAGAAATTGTTACGAAATGCACTTTTTATAGTAGTGGTTGGATATGTATTTTGTTATGACATATATGATTACTTTTGATCTTGTTTTTACGCTCGTTATAGTAAATTAATCATATTGATATTTACTCTTGTGTTTAATGCATGTTACATTTAGATCATGTTTGTAAACTAATTTGCTGATTAGAAGACCTCTTAAGCATAGACCAATGATATGTATGTATGCCTAATATGATTTGATCATTTATAATATGCTTTATGAATTTAGATCGTTGTTGAGAGGAACTCTTTAGTTCCATACCTAGATAATATTGTAACAAAATCTAAAATCTAGATATGGATTTAGATATGATATTCAAATATATTGTCAAATCTTACTGCTGTTTATTAGAACAAAAGATTATCAAATAAAAATATGATTGATATCACAATACTATTTTCAAACAGGGATAATATTGTAAAGTGATGGATGATAATATGAATCGATGGATAAAATGTATATAAATAGTCATTGGTATGTATAAGGTTATAGTAGTTTCAATTTAATCCTAACATATATCTATATATCACTATTTAACTTCACTTTTACCTTGTTATTATTCTCAGTCTCAAATATTTTTTTTAAACAATCTTGAAAATCGTAATTGCTTAAAATAGTAACAATTAAGCCTATGTTGTTGTTTTTTCCGCATTAGTTTATACGGAAACGATATAAAATTACTTGGTTCATTATGCTTTTCTTTGAAAAAACACTATGTTACAAATATTTTAATAAAATTCCGATGTTGTTGTTGAGTGGTGTGTAGATATTACAAGCTTATTAGTGATTTTTTTTATCATTTAAAGTTATTTTGTGAATTTTTTATATATTGTATATATAATCTTAGTTTATTTTTATTTTTATTATTGATGTGTTTGCTGGTTTTTAAGATCATTGTGCAAGCTTGGTAAAGGTCAATTTTTATTTGACTTTGTAATTGAAAGAACAACTCGAGGTAACCTTAGAAAATCAAAGCAACAAGAAAACACATGCATTTTTATTTCTCAAAACATTGAGAAAATGGTTGGGTGACATTGAGGTCATCAGTAATCGCAACAACAACAAAAATAACAATAAAAAACCACAACAACAATGAGGGTGATGGAATGTCTTATTTCAACATTTCAATGAGATTAACTCATCTAGAAAGACCCCAAAAAATGCTAGGAAGATGGAGAATAAGACTGAATTGCTCATGATTATTTATGCTAACCTATGTGTCCAAGTTCTATGAAATATATGTCATTCTTGGTGGAGAAAAATACAAAGAGAAAGTTATATTCCCTATACTCTTTCTCTATTCCCTTATAAGAAAACAAAAAATAGGTATTTGGATCAAACAATAAAGACCATGCAAAGTTGGAATGTACTCGGAGAGAAGCTCCTCAACATGTTCTCCTCTCAAATCAAATTCATCAAAATCAAAGCAACGACAATCACGTTTTTACAAAAAGCCACATAAACTAGTTAGAAATTTTGGTATGATAATCTTGGATATCTTCGAGGAATCGTGTTCGTACACTTTCCGAACAAAGTATTTCGACCCTATTATTTGTCTGGGTTCACGAAATCTTTGTGGGGATAATTCTTGAAGAACAATCTGCTTCTGACAATAGAAAACAGATCAAGAATGTAGAGAGAAATATGATTTTGTTCAGTGTATAAAACTGAGGCCAAATGACTCCTTATATAGGAGATCAAATAACAGAAAACGAAAAGGAACATCTGTTCAAAATTTTTGAATGGGTTCATCTTTTCAAATTTAATTTCGAACGGGTTCAGAAAATTAGAGTGGCGATGTAATTTAAATCATTAATCAGAGAAGCATTACACTGTAAGAGGAAATAGTACCTTGATAGTTCAGACATTAGATATAGTAGGAATAGGATACAACTCATAGTCATGGAATCTTGATCCTACTTTCTGCCGAATGAGTACTAGCGGAATATGCTTGATTATCCAATGACAATCTCCCCTTTTGTTTGGATCAATACTTTCAACCAATTCAGATGGCATATCAGCAAATCCAAGGAATTGAAGGTTTTCCAAGTATTGAAGGTCTTGCGGAACCACCTTCAATTGAGGGTTGTTGTTAAATCTGAAATGCTCAAGACTGAGCAAAGCTCCCTTTTCTATAGTGATGGAACTTAGTTTATTCAATCGAGTGAGATCAAGTTCCTTCAGCTTAGGAAACCCTCCAACTTTAAAATGCAAAATTTCACCAGCAAATGCATCATCCCACAAATTCAACCTCAACAAATTTGGCAAATTCTTTAAAGAGTCTAGTGGATCATGTTCAAAGTTAGATAAACCAAGCCTTAGCTTCACAAGATAGTTGAGTTTCGGAATCCAACTAGGCAACTTTGTTAATCTACCTTTCAAGTTGAGCACTTTAAGATTAGGTGGAGTTGATACAAAATCCAAGTCAAGGATTTCCTCCTCATTTATAGCAGAAATATTTAGAGATTCAAGGTGCTTCATCTCTTGTATTGTAGCACATAATGCATCTCCATATTCTCCCCGCACACGCCTTATGCCTAACTTCCTTAACTGTCTCAACTTTTTGAGCTCATGGATAAGGTCTATTCCACCATGATCTGCTTCCAAAAAGTATAGTTTTTGTAAAGATATCAAGCACCCAATACCCTCTTGCATTTGCACACCCGTTGTAAAGTTCAACATAGAGTAATGCCCTTCATATTTTCTATAATAGACCGGAAGAAGCCTTAGCTTTGTGAGCTTGTTTATCTCTTTTGGTAACTCATGCACTTGAGTTTGCCTCAAATCCAAGGTTTCTATATTCACGAGCTTGCTAATGGATCTTGGAAGCATTAAATGGCAAAAGCTTAAATCTTTCATTTTTTTGATAATCACTTCGCGCAACAAATCATGGACTTGACAACTTTTCACTTTCCCATCAAAACCCACTTTAGAGACTTGAACCAAACTTCTGTGTATCAACTCTGTCATGTGCTCTTCAGCAACTTCCTCCAATGGTCTATTCTCCTCATCCTTTACAAATCCTTCAGCCATCCATTGTCGAGTAAGTCTTTTGCGTTTGATGATGTAGTCCTCAGGATATATACCAAAATACAACATGCACGATTTCAAGTGGTAAGGCAAATCATCATAACTAAGAGATAAAATCTTCATTAAACTAGTTAAATGGGCATTGCGCTCTAACTCCATTCTCAGATTTTTACTCACCTTTTCCCACTCAAAAACGGTTTTAGATTTTGTTGACAAAAGACCCCCAATGGCCACAATTGCCAATGGTAGCCCTCCACATTTTTGAACCATTTCACAGGACATACCCTCAAGTTCTGCCGGACACTTTTTTCCAGGCTCATATCTGAATGCCTTGTTGCAAAAAAGTTCCCATGCTTTCTTTGGAGACAAAGGTTGTAGCTTGTGAACATGAACATGAAAAGATTTCTTAAAATATTCAGCTACATGCATCATTCTAGTGGTCACAATGATTCTACTTCCTTTGTTATTACTAATTATAGCATGTTGAATCTCATCAGAAAAATTTTCTTTCCAAACATCATCAAAAAATACTAAGTACCTTTTTGCTTCAAGGTATTGCCTGACTTGATAAATCAATGTCTTGTCATCCATCTTGTGCAGACCCTTTGGAATAGACTCATTGCTGTCCTTACAAAATTTCTCTACCATATCAATCAACAACTCCCTCACAGTATAAGATTGAGAAACTGTGATGAAAGATCTACAATCAAAGTGTTTTTTTACGAACTGGTTATTAAAAACATAGTTAGAAAGAGTTGTTTTTCCGAGTCCTCCCATGCCAACCACTGTAACCAACATGAGTTCTTTGGTTCCTTCCACCAAACATCTCACCAATTCATTTCTTGATGACTCAAACCCCACAACTTGAGTCTCTTCAATGAAAAGCGAAGCCATTCGAGGATCACCAAAACTTTCACTTTGAGTAGTCCCTCTCCCTCTAGAGCATCCTGGTCCATTTTCAGCCTTAAACTCATACCTCTCACTTCTTTCTTTGATTCCACCAATTGATAATTTGATATCTTTCATCTCAGAAGCAATTTGATGTCTCAGCTTCAAGGTTTTAATAATCTGAAACACCATTTTGAGTGAGACCATGCATCCAGAACCAGAATTGTTAACCCTTTGTGCCATATACATGCTATAGTAATCAATCACATCTTCTATGCGAAAAGAAGCTTCCCTCAGCTGCTTCACCCAAGTTTTGACTCCTTCATTAGATCCTCCTCCTCCACCATCATCAGAAGCCTTTGCATCTGCATCCTTGAGGAAGGCGTGAATGCTCTCAAGTTCAACTTTGATGTCATCAAAGTCTTTGTGTACTCCTGTCAGCAAAGTTCCTTCTTCTAAAGCAAGTTTGTAGAGCTGCTCTAAAACAAATGACACTGTAGTTTCTGCCATTTTTAATTCCTGTTACTTTTGGACAAATCAGCTCTTGCAAGCAACTTCAACTCTTTTGTTTTTGGTCCTTTGCATTTTCTATACACCAGATTTGATTCTTGGCGATATTTTAAAGTAATGTTTAGTAAAGTTCTAGATCAAAATGGATTTTAAATATATACTGTAAATATTAAAATGGGTATTATAATTTACTTAAAATTATATTTTATTTTTATTTAATATAATTATTTAAATTTATATTGCATTATTAGTTAATTTATTAATTATAATTTGGTAAAACTTTAAAGAATAAAATGCATATTCTATACACTATTAAATATATTATAATTTTTTTTATCTCATGAATTAAGGAGTTCTATCAAAATTCAAACCTTTAAACTAATAAATTTAGGGTGTTGTTCACTACACCTCATGTTAGTAGTGATCATATACTCTATGAAAACTCTAAAATAATCCTTGTATAGTTTAGATTTTAATATTCTGACGTGCGCCTATTATACATCAAATGATTTCATTAAAGTGACAAATCATTTATGTCATAAAAAATAGTTCGGATTTCATTCTCTAGATTAATCTTGCAATAGAATAAAAAACACAGTTTTGGATTACAATCTACGGATTAACCTTATCACTGTATTTTACATTCTTAGAAAGAAAGTTAAAAGAATTTTGACATTTTTTTAATAAACCTTATATAAAAATCATTTATAAATCAATCCCACAAAATAAAACATACACATTTGTCATTTAATAATACGATCAAAATAGAAGAACTATTGTGTATATCTGAATGTCAAAATATTAAATGTAAAATGTCAAAATGTCATAATCCCACAACAAACCATAATACAAAATGTCAAAATATACACAGTAAAAGACAACCATTGCATATATATAACGCCCATGTTCCTCTTCTGTTGCCTGTACTGCAATGCATGGCGTGCCTTAGCTAAGATAGTTTGTAAAGTGATCATATGAGGAATGTCTTCCTCAAACTCGCCCATAGCTATGGTCACTCTCCCATTAGCCACAATATGGTGACATATTGGCAACACATCAGCAACACATCAACGACATGGTCCGCCATTTCATGCTCATCCTCTAAGATCTTCTGATGAGTTGGTCTTGGAGGATCTCCTTCTGCATCTGGTGTCATGTACGAATGTGACACTCTATAAAACTTTTGGATGCAGCCGTATGTTGTACTCCATGGACGAGGAGCTGGAATGCAACGTACATCCTCAAGGACCAGATGATCGTAGTACTTTGCAAAAATCTCATTAACATCCCTATGAAGGTCAGTGATAAGAGCCACAACGATGGGGTCTCTGGGTATACCCTGCATATATTCGAACTGTCTCAAGAATCGCTCAGATAAATATGGGTACATAAGTTGAGACCCATATTCCAACCACCCAAAATACTAGGTTATCACCTCTAAGGGCCGTGTCTCACGCTACTCACCATAAGGCGTAAAATAAATATCATCCGGCATGATAAGGTCAAGAGCAACTCGAAACGGCCTGGTCGCCTGATTCTCTTTGAGCGGGATGATCTAGCATACACCTTGCAAAGCCTTAGAGCAACCTTTCACTTATACCCAACCGACGAAATATGGAAGTTTTTGGTGGACCCGTGCCTGAAAATTGCTCAAATGACGGTGTAACACAAATATTATGAAATTAATATCATTAAGGGTGCAAAAATATTATCGTAAATAGACAATCATTCCTTGTCAACTGTTGTGTCTTCTATAAACTTCCCTTAACTAAGTTATAATAGAGATACACCAAATAACCACTTGTACCCGTGAATCTTCTCCAAGTCAATGAATATCTAAGGTAGATAACGTCGACATACGTCACATTTTTGTCCACAAATATGAACGTGCCGACAAAAACCAAGAGATATGACCTTAATGCATATACTCAGTGGTATGCAACCCGTGCATCCTCACTATCAACAACCACAACTGTAGCCAGGTGGTGTTCATACAGATCCACCAGAAATGAAAATATATCATGACATCCTCTGGTGTCATCTATCTCCTGTTGGACTTTTTTTAGGTTACCTTCAAAATAAGTCACCATCATGTCTAGTGTCTCAGGTCTATTGGTTATGGAGTAGTTTAATTGTAGGAATATGGAAACTTTTATATTATTTTGTAAAGAATACATAAGAGGTATTTATAGACTATAAATCTATCTAAATAAGTGAATGATAATTATTCTCCCTATAACTTATAAATGCTAATCTAGTCATAATGAGCTGTACAGGACATCAGCTCATAATGAGCTATATGATATTCAACATATTCTAATAATGATAATACTAATATTACAACATTCATATTCTTTTTTTGTAATCGAAAGATCTAGAAGGCATGATACATCATCAAGTGTGATGAACATCTCAGTGATTGAAAGATGAAATGACGACGTCTTTTCGTGTCATCTCTCTACAAAAACAAACAATAACTCATGGTTAATATAACTATTTCCAGTCCTACTTAAGTATTGTAGCCCAGATAGCTGCAAGACATCTTAAAATCATGGTTCATCAGGTTGTGTCAGCTCTGCATCCTTTCTACCATGGCTGATATATTTTTTTGCAAGACATCTTACCATTGTTTAACTGTAACCTTTTAATATGTTTCCCAAACTGTATTTTAACCATTTGAAAAAAATTAACAAACAATTGACACACTTCAGACTTATCTTTCATAAGAAACACCCATGTAACCCGAGTACAGTCATCAATAAAAGTAACATACCATTTTGCACCAGAAATATTGGAAATGGATGAAGGCCCCCATACATTAGAATGGACAAGATCAAAGGGTTCGACACTCCTAGTATCACTAGAGGAATATGTTGCTCGATGGGATTTGGCAAACTGGCACACATCACAATGAAAGGAATCAACAGACACCTTGGTAAATAAGTGAGGGAATACAGACCCGAGCATGCGGAAATGAGGATGCCCAAGACACCTGTGTTGGAGCCATATTTGAGTATTTGCCCATGACTCTGAACCAGCCTGATGACACTTGCTTTCCTTATGAGGCAGGCAATATAACTCATTCTGTTCCTCAGCAATTCTAATCGTCTTCCCTATGGCAAGGTCCTGAAAAACACAATGAGAGTGAATAGAGGTTACAACACAATTCAAGTCTTTAGTGAGTTTATGGATGGACAAAAGATTGTTAGAAAGCTTAGGGACATGAAACACATGATTTAGGTGGAGAGATGGGCTTAGGCGAATGTTACTAGATCCGACAATTGGGGTTTGGGACCTATTTGCAACGGTAATATGGCGTTTATTAGGTAAAGATGAGTAAGAAGAGAGAGATATGACATATATGGAGTTATGTGATCAGTTGCACCGGAGTCAGTAATCCAGATATCTTTAGAACAAGAGGCATTTAAAGCTAAGAAGCTAGAGTTCTTACCAGTAATGGTCAGAGAACTAGTGTTAGAGAACTTACTTAAGGAGTCAATAAAGAGAAACAAACCGTCTCGAGCCACGAGAGGATCGAGATCTACTGTTAGGAGAGGATCAAAGGGCTGCCAATGAGAAACACCAATAAAGATGACAACCGAACAATCAAGGGCTGCAAACAGCAAGAAACAACAATGAAGGTTGTCCTGAAAAACAACAATGAAGGCGAAACCGTCCGGATCTGCAACGGCGGTTGAGCAGTGCACGACGGCTGCAAAGTCACTGAGATCACTAAGGTTCCAAGAGAAAGGGAACCTTGTCCAAGAAAAAAAAGGCCCGTAATAAGAACAGCTAGTGTTTTTGTTGAATATTAGCACAAAATCAAAATAAATCCTGTCATACAGCTCATTATGGCTGAATTTAAATTGTGATTAAATAGAAATTAACTTTATTATTATATTCTTATCTTATTTAGGATTAGCATTTATAGGGAGAATAATTACCCCTATTTCCTAGTGTAGTTTATATTCTATAAATACCTCATATGTACTGTGTTATAGAATATACAAAATAGAAAAAAAAAACATATTTCTATATGGTACCAGTAGCAACAAGAATCCTTTAGGGTTTTTTTTATTTTTTATTTTTGCTTCCGCTCTGTTTATCTTTTTTTACATCCCACAATGTCTGATACCGAGTCCTCACTTTCACCCAAACATTCCTCACCCGAACCTAAATTAGTCCGAACATACCATGAAAACCACCCTGTTCAGATCACACCAATTCAGTTGAACGGTGCTAATTATCTTCGATGGTCGCAATCTGTTCGTATGTATCTCAAGGGGAGAGGAAAGATTGGCTACATCACTGGCGACAAAAAACAACCAGACAAGGCAGGTGCAAATTATGATACATGGGATGCTGAAAACTCCATGGTCATGACATGGTTAGTCAACTCCATGGATGAAGAGATAGGTGCAAATTATCTCTGTTATGATACTGCAAAAGAACTTTGGGAAGGTGTCTCCCAAATGTACTCTGATTTGGAAAAATCAATCCCAAATCTACGAATTAACTCCCAAATTGGGAGAAATTCGGCAAGGTGAAAATTCAGTCACCAAATACTTCAATTGTCTCAAACGTATTTGGCAAGATTTGAACCTTTTCAATGAGTATGAGTGGAAATCACCTGCCGGTAGCAAACATTAAAAAAAGATGGTGGATGTTAGTCGTGTTTTCAAGTTCCTTGCAGGTCTAAATGTTGATTTTGATGAGGTTCGTGGCCGAATTCTAGGCAGAAATCCTATCTGTAATACCCCAAATTTTGCCCTAAGATTTGTCGTTTCATCTCGCATTCCATTGCATTTTTGCATTGCATTTAACCAGACACTAACAAGTTTGTGTAGTTGGTTGATTTTTGCAGGAAAATATCATGTAGCGCGCTCTTTAGTTCATGAAGGGTAAAATGGTCATTTATTTGCAGCCGACTGTCAGTTTATGAATTTTGAGATGTAGTCAGGAAATCTGGGCCGTTGGATATTGTTGATGTGAGTCAGGGC